GCCACGGAAGAGAGAGAGAGAGAGGAGAAGAAAAGGAAACTGGAACAAAAAAAGGAATGAAACGAAAGTGAGAAAAGGGGGAATGAACGGTGAAGAAGAGAGTTTATACCTTAGATTTTTCCCCTTTCTGTCACCGACTCCCTCTTTTTTTTATATATTTATTTTTTTAACATGAATTTCTCCATTGCCTTATTTTTTATACTATTATGAGACGGTGGAAACTTTACCGATATAGTGAGGCGATGGAATCACCGACATAGGAACAGTGGCTCTCCTACACTTTCTTCCATAGAGAAGTTTATATGGTGCCATCTGAACACTAGCTTAGTAGCTGTTATTGTATGCAAACTCGACCAAAGGCAGATAATTTTCCCATGACCCTTTCATTTCTAGTACACATCTCAACATATCTTCTAGTGTTTGAATTATCCGTTCTGATTGGTCATCTGTCTGCGGATGGTCGGATGGTAAGCTGAGCCGAAATTTAGTTTAGTCTATAGAGTTTTATGCATATTTTTCCAGTATTTTGATGTGAATCTAGGATCTCGGTCAGAAACTATTGATATTGGTACATCATGCAATCTCAAACACCATGCAATCTCACTATCTCATTAATGTATATTTTAGTTAGCTTTTCTAATAAAAATTTCATATTGATAGGTAAAAAGTATGCTGACTTTGTCAACCGGTCCACAATCACCCATATTGCATCATTCTTTCTCAAAGATTTCGCAAGGCCAGTAACAATCCATAGTGATCTCTTTCCATTTCCATTATCCAATGCTCAGCAATCATAGCAATCATAGGATCAGTTGTTCCCTCAAAACTAGGTGAAGATAATTTCTTGAATTCCCCCATGTCGCTACTTAATTTTGAGTGTTCCTCGTTTTGACCATTCATCTCATTACGATCGATTTGATCTTGTTTCCTGGTGACTACAGATGTCACTGTTTGTAATAGTTCCATTAGTGTATTGTTGTCTATTGAGTTTCCTGAGGTGGATATACGAGCAATTCTAGATTTCATCATTTCACTTATCGTTTGATTAAGATCATTATCTTCGTTAGGAGGGGTTTGCTCATTACCTGAAGCCATATCTCCTTATAAATAATAAAATGTTTAGGTCAACTAAATCCCATAGGTACCCTCCTTAAATATGTAAAAGGCCTTACTATAAAACATTTATATGCATACACATATATACATATGTATACATACATATGTATACATACATATATATCACATAGCTGACCCATACGATAACACTCATCTGGCGTATATACACTATGCTAACGTGCCCTACAAGGCTTTTAACGTCGAAACCTTAGCTCTGATACCATCTTATTGTCACGCCCCGATAGCGCAGCGAAAAATTCGTAAATACAGGTTACGCAACAGTAGTGACCCATGCACAAGACAAGTTTCATGTACGAGTCAAGCCTGACACTTCATATCACATAGTTTATCTCAAAACATTTATAAACCTGCTGATGATAGAAGTTCAGAACAACTATAAATATTTATGTAATCGGTACTTACAACCCACAATTTCACTGTTAAAAACATTTTACTAAATAGAGCACATTGTTGACTGTATGTAACATCAAAAAGGAGGCTTTCCGTATAACGCCTCTCAACAATGCGTCATAATCAAAAGTTCAACTATTATGTAGCTACGTCAGATCTGAATTTTTTTTAAAAACAACAGGGTGAGTTATGATTCAGTGTGAACATTTTTCACTAGAGTTTCTAGATAACTAACAAAATAATAATAATAATAATTCCCAGAAATTATGAATTATAATTTTTGCACTAGAATTCATAAAAATTGCAAGTATGGTCCAAACAACATACTATTGATATTTTTCTAGAAGAATGTAACAATTATATTTTCTTTATTATGTGCAACTAAATATACTGTAATATTTTCTAGAATCAAATCCTTTTTGAATCAAGGTAAACATTAAGAAAGAAAAAGAACTAAATTTGTACAAAACCAGAGGACTATTATTTTCTCAATTTCACAGTCCATTGTTAGAATCTTAAATCTCGATGAGTCATTCGTAAATGTGAAAATTACCTCATAGGTTACACCAAGGCTACGAATTATAGTCCGGTAGTATGTGAATGCGTAAAATGCACCACATAATAGATAATTTTCGAGAATCGAATGCACCTAACACTGTCATGGTTACTGGCCAAATACAGAGGGGCCAGAACAAAATTCAGAAAGGGTCAATATAGAGGGGCCAAATAAAGATGCATTCACCATATAGTAGGCAGAATTACTCAATATTGGACTTTTTGAGGGTTTGAAAACATTGAGAATCACTTGTCAAATGGGTAATATGTTGTGTATCAGAATTTATAAATATTTTCAAATAAAGTGGACAAGGGTAAAACTCCTCATCCCAGCTAAAATAGTTTACGAATTTTACTTTTCTTTATTTTTATCAGATACTAAGTCACAGAAAATCTTTGAATTCATTAAACTGTTGAAACACGTTCAAAATATTTATTTTCTTCAAAAGCTTTTAAATAAAGCAATTCCCATAATTATTTGAAATCGCATAAGAACCAAATTCATTTTTCATAGTTCATATAAAATCAACTTGATTTTTCATATCTCGTACGAAATCAACATCGTATTTATGGCTTAGGCCACAACAGAAGTAGAGCAAATGACCTTTTAACTTTATATACATGAAAATGATATATTATTTATTTTTCGATTACATAATAAATCAAATATAATACTCATGCAATTTCATATTATAAAATACTAGTGAGAAATGAACTAACATTTAGTGGACACGACTCCCCTAAAATATTACTCCTTTGATATAAACCAAATCCTATAATACAAGATATAAGACTAATTATTAATTCAGGACAAACATATATTATAGGTAAATCAATTCATAATCTGGAGCCAACTAAATTCAAATATAATCAATAATAATTAAAATCAATAAATAGGTTCATTGTAGGCTTTTTTTCTAATCTTAACAATTTACCCAGCTTAATTTCTAATTAAGTCTGAATTTTCTCGGTATGGTTGTAGTTTACTGAACAATAGTGTCTTCATGAATATTTTCATTCCTTTTTATCTTTGGACCTATATATAAACTAAAAGTCTTTCAGAGGTCCCAAAGTAATTTAGTTATTTAATTAATTTCTCTTTTCTCTCACCTTTATCACTTCCTTTCTTCCATGTTCCTCCTTTTCTCACTTTCGTTTCATTCATTTTTTTGTTCTAGTCATTGTTATCAAGGCGCGTGCCCCGGGCGCGGGGCGCTACGGGCTGGGACAATTGCACCTCGCACCAGAGACGAGGCGCTGCACGCACACAAGGCGCGCGCCTCGTGTGCCTGACACCTGCGTCATGTAGCGCCTCGCATGCGCCTCGTGTGCGCTTGACACCTGCGTCATGTAATACTCTTTTTTTTAAATAATTTACATATTACATATTTACATCATGTAATAGACTCATTCTTGCTAATTGCTAATCCATTTACCATCTTTTTATGTTTAACTTATAAAAAGGAAACAATACTTAGTAATTTAGTATACTTGTTTGCTAATTATAACTAACTTCTCTAATTAGCATGCTAACGAGAAAATTATGAACATGTAAATATGTAATTGTTACCTCCATTCTCCATCTTTTCATGCTAACTAGCAAATAGCACTTAAGAATGCTAACTAGAAAATTATGAACAATCATGTTTTTTTAATCACTTAATTGTTACTTAGAAATACATATATCATATTTTAAATGAAAAAATATATTTTTTATTTGTTACTTGTTTTGTTTCATAGATTTTTGATTATGTTGGAGATTATCTTGCATTGTGATTTGTGAAAACTTATGAACTTCTCTATGTTTTGCATGCTAATTAACTCTTTCGTGATTTAGTAGGTGAAATTATATTTCTTAGTCTTTTTATGTGACAATTAATAAACATATTACTTATATGCTTCTTTGTCTTATGTTGAAAAATATTAGTTTGAGTTGTACGCCTCAATTCAGTGAGGCGTGCGCATCGCTATACGCCTTGCGCATGGTACACGTAAGGGGCCTTTGCGCCCCGCATTGCGCCTTGCGCCTCGATAACAATGGTTCTAGTT